GTCACAACACAGTCATCTGAATTCTTGAGAGTATACACAACACGCTCTCGTGGTAATTTTACATTTGGCAGTCGTGGCCTAATGGTTAGAGAGTCAGACTAGCAACCCGAAGGTTGCGGGTTTGATTCTCGGTCTGCAGAAAATGACTGAGGTGCCCTTGAGCAAGGGACCTAACCCCTAATCGTTCCCTGGGCGCCACAGCAAAATGGCTGCCCACTGCTCATTGCGTGTGTGTCCATGGTTTGCTGTGTGTGTGTGTTCACTACTCACTGGAAATGTGTGAGCACTAACTTGAATAAGTGCAGAGGACAAATTCCGAGTATGGGTTACCATTGGCCTTCACTTTCACTTTCATTTTTTACTGTTGAGCTCAGAAAGTATATACAGGCCAAGTCTTAACATTTCATTAGACATTATCTCTGGTAATCACCTCATTGAGAGGCACAATGACAATGGCAATATAAAATATCAAAACAGCTACTCTAATGGGTCTTTGGTAAGCAAACTATGAGAGAGGACTACTGAAAACAAGACAGGCTGCCAAGAACAAAACCGAAATATAGCTGTAAGCAGCTACTGTAAAGAATTACATGACATAGACTTAGTGACATCTGTTCATAATTGAACTGATCCAGTACTGTACTTGATGAGAGTGGGTGGGTATTTTGCGTGGTTGACTTTTATCCATTAATTTTTTTTTTTTAATTTTTTGGCTGTAGGAGATTTAATAAACACATTCATCTTTACTATCTCTCTTTCTGAAAACCACACAAGTGCAGAGTGACTTATTCAACTTACTTTAGCGTTCTTCTGTCATTGTGTCGAGAAAAACTGACCCGTTTCATTTTAAATGATGGTATTACATTTTAATGTATAGTTCCATTAAAACACATTGAAAAAAAATCTGTTAAATCAAGCGTAGCGTCAGTTCTGGCAGGTCACGTTAGTCAAGCTCACATCAGCTGACTCTCAGCTGATCCACATCTACCTAGAATATGACGTCTATCACTGTATCCATAAGCTCATCAGTATTATCAACAGCTATCGCGTTTCTCAGGAGCTAATTACTCTCCTCCATCCCCAACTCCTCCTCTCCTCAGTCAGGATTTGCCATTCTGATTCCCCTTGAATCAGAATAAATTCTCGAATTATGTTGTACTTTAAAATCTTGAATTAATGATCTGCAATACATTCATGTTGGTTCTGTTCTGTTTAACCTAAGGGGGGTTATTGCTGCTCTCCCTGCTCTTATCCATGCTGCTGGAGCTGCATGGATGTGCAGGGAGTTCTTGCCCAGAACAGAACCATACCGCCAATCCAATCTGTGTGCTAATTGCCAATCGTATTTGACGATAGTGGTCCTGACAGAAATGATCAATACAATCTGTAAAAGCAAGTATTTCCTTTCGATGTTGCTTAACACATTCAATGCAAAAAGTACTAAATCTTCTGTGCTGTATTTGCAACACAAAATCATTTTACAGTTACATGTACGTACTTGAAATGTTGCCGTTCTGAGTTGTGAGTTTTAAACAGTTCTAATAACTGTTAAATGAAATATTTATAACTTTGTGCTCATTCTTGGAAGACATGACCATTGAAATGGCAAAGATATGATTATTGCATTAAGATATGATACTTTGTTTCTAATATGAGTTTAAAATATTCTATAAAAAATCAAGATACTTTTTCTTTGTTCTTGTGTTTTTTGTAATCAACTCCCATTTGCAGTACTACATTTCTAAACATTCATCGTGATGCACTGCTTGTACTTCCAACACCTCTCAATCTCATTAAACCTGAATGACAGATGCTTGAAATTTAAGTCTTAGATTATTCCCAAAAATGTCAATAGACATTTCTTTACACATGAGGTATTATATTTGTTATTATTAAAGTGACTTTATTATATTACTTTGATCCACAGTAATCAATGCCAGTATTTATATTTGCATCCAGCCTTTTCAATTGGCTTTAAAGAGAAGTTTAGCTGTGTCATGATGTCTGAGACTGACTATTGAGTAAGGAAATCCGACTGGTTTTCTGTGCAATGGGGCAATCCTCTAACCAGAGCCTTAGTGGCCAGTGTTAGGATGAATGTAGAACTTGTTGCTGCAGTGACGCAGTATACTGTAAATGCTGGACCATTGCCATGGCTACAGCATGAAGATGATGGGCTGTAGGCAGCTGCAGCACTGATGCTGAATTCCTAGCCTCTTCATACTAAAAACGCAGAATTTCTAACAGAATGAAATTAAAATTACAACAAAAAATTAAGGGTTTTCTGGATAATTAGTGTGGTTCTCATGTGTGATATATAACATTTTGGGGTTCATCATTGTAAATACTGTATATAGCAAAGTCTTATTAAATTCCTTTGCAGATATTCATCATGAAACAACAGTGCACAGAACACTAACTATTCGTGGTAGGCTACTGTTATTTTTATGTTTTTATTTTAAACGAACAGTAAAAACAGTGACAGAACTGTCCGAGAAATGTTAACACACAGATCTGGGTGTCTAGATATGAGCTCATTTGTCATTAAAAAGCGCATTAAACTCTTCTGAATGTCATTCGCATTGTGTCAACGATACAGCCATTAAAAAAGGTGCTTTCTCCCTTTAAGTTTATGAAACAGAATCCATTACTGTGTTGTCTTGTAAAAGTATATGCATAACATGAGATGATAAACAAAACCAGAAATTCGCTCAGCATGCCGTTACACCTGTTACTACGCATGCGCTTCAGGTGACCTGCTCTATGCAGCATTTTGGGGCATTAGAACGCGCCTATGATGCCCCAAAATGATTTCCATGTAGGCAGCTATAGCTAGGTTTTGAGACACAGTCGATAATAAACAAGCACACCTCACCTACACGTGTCCAGTATATTCAAATCCTGGTTTTAGAAGCGTGTTTATCCACATATGCATAAGGAGTTCATTGTGCGCGTCCAGCTCAAGTTACATGCTGTCGGAATCCTTCATTGCTCGGCATGTCATAAAGCGCAGTAAATCCATATGGTCAAAGATCCTCGTACAGGCCTAAATACAATAACACCGCAGCGCTGTGTCTATGTTCATGCATTCCTGCCCCTCCACACTCATCAACATTGAGGTTTAATCCGTTCAGGTCCTGAGCTGGAGAGATTATTCTGATGGATGTGGAGTTAGACGCACTGACTCCGCCCCACATATCGCTACAATATTTACTGTCATTCCGCAGAAATAACCCGCGTGTTTGGAGGGCGTGGATTCAGTCATATTCTCACGAGACCAAGCAAAACAACCGATGTGACATTTCGATTGTTGTAGTGATTGGTGCATCACAAACATTTAGCATTTTAAAGAACAATATTCATGTTTTAACATGATCTTATCATAATATTGTTATTATATTACGGTCGCATTTTAAGAAAATTGTGACTACAAAACATAGCCTACGATAGCCTGCCCCAACTTAAAACAGCATGACGTGGATGACCTCAGAGATATTAACAAAAAATTATGCAACACTAAACCAATTCTACCCGAAACTGGGGCAAAAGAATAGCCTACGCGCAAAATTATATGACTCAAAGGTGATGAAATATGTTGTTTTGTTTGAGCAAGCTGCTATATATATATATAATTTAATTGTCTTTATATTTTTATTGTCATATAAATCAGACAAGATTTTGATCTTGATTTCTTTTTTTCTCTCCCACTGAACAGTACACAGACAGATAATGTGTACCTTGTCCTTTCTGTTTTTGGAAGACAGCTCAGTACGCTTACAGTTAATATACTGCCTCATCTTATATGAGTCTGCTATATTTTGCTGACTAGAATTAGCATTTGTTGGTCATTGTTGTGTGAGTAATGAGGTGAAACCAGGCTGCAGGCAAGAACTTCCTTAATAGATCACAAGAATATTCCATCACCCTTAAAACAGGTTTTGGTTGTTGTTTTTAGGGTATGTTCTAATAGGGTATATTTGGGTAATGCTATTGATTATTTAATCGTCTTTATTCTAGTGTAAAATAGATAATGTTTTTCAATGCATGTTTTGTTAAAGAGCAAAAAGGAAACATTTGCTGACTGTCTGAATTCTTTGTGTTTACTGTAACTGGTGCACAGAGAGTGTCAAATTCAAGGCTACTTATGACTCCTGTAAATATAGCAAGTGTCAGAGGATATGTCTGTGTGCTGTCTCAGGGTAACTGAGAAAGATTCTTCCAGAGACTGTTTTGGATGATGATGATGATGTTGATGATGATTTAGTATGCTGATAGACTGTATAGGTGAAAACACCATGCAGAACAGTATTATTTTTATTATTAGTAGTATTATTGTTGTTGTTGCTGTTGTTGTTGACCATGTTATATAAACAATGATGACAGAAATTTGAAATAAATATGCAATTTATTTGTACAGTTTGGAGCTACAATACAAGCAAAGGTTCAAACACTGTGAATATAATGTTAAACATCAGCCAAAACATCACAAAACTAATTTTCAGAAATATATATTAATAGATTATAAATTCAAACAAGATTTCAGGAACTCAACATATTATATTTACATTACATTTTCAACCAATGATCTATCCCTGATCAATTTGATTTTGTATATGAAATGAATGATTTTAAAAAGCTTTTTTTTTTTTGTGGAACCTAGAGTGCAAACAAATTATAACCTCAAAATGATGTCATGCTGTACTAAATATATTACTGATAAAGATGACTGCAACCTTAGAATACTGATGATGTTTCACAGTATAACCATGCATAATGTTAGTGAAAATCACTATGACACCTTAATGTATCAATAAATTAACTAATTGCACAAACACCACATTATACTTCCTGTTTGCTTATTGTTTTGCAAACAGTACAAAAAGTATTAATCCTGATGATTATAAATGCTGCCTCATATTACTGTTTTGTTCAATTCCCTTTTTATTCTTCGTTTTTGAGGCATTCATTAGCCTATTTAAAAAAGTGGAAATTCCTGTCCCAAGAACAGCTGTCCAAAAGTCACTTCAACATACAAAGAAAAGAAATAAAACACAAATCTGGCCTGCAATCAGAAGCTATGGATGACATCTACAAACACCTTATAACACAGTCAAGCTCATTGGGCTTGGGGGACAAGAAGAATTCAATCAGTGTTACAGATCTTCAGACTCAGGGATCTCGAAAGGCTCCAGAGAGACAGTGGGTAAAATGAGAGACATGCCTTCGGAGATCCACCCCTGGGCAGTCCTGTTGAAAGTGGGCCGCTTAGCTGTAGGATCCTGGAGCTCAGGATATCGAGGCGCATTCAAGTCCACATCAGGAAGCTTGAAGGTGATCCCTCGTGGAGCTTTTTCAAAACCACCAAATGGTGTAGCCACCCTGAGATTTAACAGAGATTTAATTACTGAGGCATCTGTAATTGGTTTCTGTTATGCTGATTTTTATTGAACCCCCCCCCCCCCCCCAAAAAAAACACAATAAAACAGACTTCCAATAAATGAGGCAACATTTTAGGGCATGAACACATTTTTCAGGTATGAATTATTGAATAAATGGATATTGAAACTGCACCACCTGATCATCTCCTCAAGATGGTGCTGTGATGTGCAGAAACTTTATTGCAGAACTGAACATACTGCATAACTGTACAATTTTCAACAGTGTGTCGTACATTAAAAATAACGATGTTAAAATAACTGTCATTACACTATATTTAATGATAAATATGACTTAAAATAAACCAACCTATCCTTAAAAAAAAACCTGTATTCGCATTTTCTAAAATTAAAATGACATTTTTGTTGGAAATACTATTCACATGATGGCATTAAGAAAAAATGAAATACCTATTAAAGCTTTTGTAGTCAGGCAGCTCTAGTTTGGGCTCTGGGACTGGCATGTGAACTTTAAGTGTGTCGGCCAGAGTTGGGTCATTGATGATGGCCTCTTCCCATGGGGAGTGGTAGGATTTTGGCATAGCTGTTGCATTGAACCTCTCTGGAGGAATGTTTGTCAAGGGACCACCATATCCTGCGAAACAGTTTCTGCTGTTTAGACTTTGATTGCATGTTATCATTTGATCAGGCTAAGTTATGGATATAGAATAGCCCTCTGTAAATATCTTATGTAGAACCGAACACACCATTTAAATTGAAAGGCATTAACTTAAATTGAGATGAAAGGATTATAACTAAACTGAATTGGAGAGATTAAAACTGAAGTCTGAATCCAGATTTGTCTTAGACATAGTAGTACAATACGGACTTCAAGTTTATTTTACATAGCAAACGCAGCATGCATTTGTTGAATAGTGAAACCGACACACATACCTTTTAACCCTTTTAAAGTCACTTAGAGTGATTCACTAACTAAAAATAGAAAGTAAGTTGTGGGTGGCGTGTGCTGTCGCTATCTTATTCTCTTTTCACCTTCTCTGATTCCATTGCACTTACTCTCATAGATGATACAAGGCTTTTAAAACATCTTACAAGCATGTGAGGGTATATAACAAGCAAGAGCACTGCAATCATCCTGACTTATCTGCCATTGTGACACCCATTAATAAGTTTTATTTTTTCAAATGAAGAAGTTTTGAAATAAAATTTGTTCTAAAACACAATTCCAGTTCTTGTTAGCACATTGTCATATTATATGATTTAACTGTGAATTATAAACATTGTGATTTTGACATACCTGGTGCAATTTCCTCTGGGTTTGCTGGGTTTCTGGGATCTGGTGTGTTTGGTGGTGTTTTTGAGGCAACTTCTTTATTTTCTGAGTTTTCTGCATTTGCTTGATTTTCATTCTGGAACAAAATGTCAGTTTTAGTTTGGACAGCTTATTATGCATTTGTAGCAAGACATACAAAGACTGTTTCCATATTAGAATATTTTTTATTTTAAATTCAATTAACATTGTAAATAAAGTGGCATGAAAGGGACATTGTTCCCGACGTAACGTCGACGTGACGACGTAATTGGGATCACTTCAGGGAGCCCTATCTTCTTCGAGTGTCTACAGAACGAGCCAATGAACGTTGGCGTGCGTGAATCGTGTCACGCGCCCCGCCCCGCAGCACGGGTATAAACAGGAAGCGGATGTACGCACACATTGTCTTTCACTTCGGAGCTAAGCTTCTGTTGATCTGTTCTGCAAAGCTGTTTCTGCAAAGTTCTGCAAAGCTGCTACTACGTTGAAGACTCTTCAAGAAGACTCTTTCTTCCGGTGTTGGTGTGACAGCGCGATCAGCGGTGGCCGCGAGCATCTAAGCTCACAAACTGCTGTTATCACAGCACTGCATTGTGTGTGTGTATGTGTCGGTCTCGGTGGGCGTTTCCCTGAGTGTGTACCTCGTTTACACCGCGGCTACCCCTGGGTGCTTCAGGACTGAAAGAGTTATTTTTCTTTTTTTGTTTTATCTAACAAGAGCAACACAGTTGTGCTTTTCTGGATGCGGTTGTTCCCTGGCGCCAGCAGACGGCCACAATAGTTGCCTCTCGTGTTTGGGCATTCAGCACGCTGAGGCAGCTTTTGTGAATAGTTAATGTTCCCATTGCGGGAATATGACTACGACAGCGCTGAGATCGAGACTCGCTTACCTCAAGGAAGGTGCAGTCCCCTCGCCTATTCCCCCGATCTAGCGTCTATTCTGGACCTCAGAATAGACCTACTTCAGTGCATGACCAGGGTGATCTGAGGATTACCGTGAGGGCTTCCCCGCCGAGGCAGTCTTCGTGGGTCCCTCACGCCTCACAAGCGCTGCCACCGTTGGAGCCTCCAAAGGAACGCGCTGGCCCTTCCCTTGGACGGCCAGCCGTGTCCTTTGGGGCTCCACCTGACGATCAGATGTCGATCGCAGCATCGGAGGGGGAGCTTCAGTCCTCTGGAGATGAGGATTCGGCTGCGTTGCCCCCTTCGGGGAGTGTAGCGTTGCCCGAGTCCGATCCAGAATGGGCGGCTATGCTTTCCCGGGCCGCCGAGAAGGTCGGGCTTGTGTGGAACCCTCCCCCAGGTCCCGAGCCTTCTCAGTTGGACAATTGGTTTCTCGGGGCGGGCCGTGCTGGTGCTACCATTCTTCCCGGAAGTGCATGAGGAGCTCACTAGGACATGGACGGCACCGTATAGTGCCAGAAGCCGTCCTAGTGGCTCCTCCCTCCTCGCCACCCTCGACGGCACAATTTCGATAAAAGAGCAATTTCTAAAACATCTGGGTCTCAAGAGGGTGCGCTTGGCGACGACGCTATGCCTTGTCACCCTCAAGCCCCTCTTTCATCACCACCGAGCAGCAGTGGCTGTGTCCCGGATGCACTGACGCCTCCGCACACTCACTCTGCCCTCACTGTTGCACCACACACTCAGACCCCACTCCAGGCCGCTATGCCGTCCGAGTCGGGTCCCTGCATTCCGCCGCGCTGCCCCACCCCGGGTACGTCTGTGGTGCTGTTGGTCCTGCTTGCATGGCGTCTGGGAGCCTGGCTAGCGCTTCCCAGTCCGTCTCGCTGGCTCATCCGTACTGACAGACTACGGGGCATTCCCCAGTTTTCAGGGGCATTCAGTTCACCCGTGTTCTGGTGGACCAGTGTTCTGGACGTGTTCTGCCCCTGTGCTCAGGGCAGAGATCGCAGTCCTACTGGCGAAGGACGTGATCGAGCCGGTCCCTCCAGCTGATATGAAGACTGGCTTCTACAGCCCGTACTTCATTGTACCCAAGAAAGGCGGTGGGTTACGGCCAATCTTGGACTTGGGTATCCTGAACCGGTCCCTGCACAGGCTGCAGTTCCAGATGCTCACGCAGAAACATATTTTCAAATGCATCCGTCCCCAAGATTGGTTTGCAGCGATCGACCTGAAGGACGCGTACTTTCATGTCTCGATTCTCCCTCGACACAGACCGTTTCTTCGCTTTGCATTCGAGGGACGGGCATATCAGTACAAAGTCCATGTATGCCTCTGCCACCGGGTGGGGGGGTCACGTACAACAGGCATGCAGCTTCAGGTCTTTGGACGGGGCCTCAACTGCATTGGCACATCAACTGCCTTGAGTTGTTAGTAGTACATCTTGCGCTGGGCCGCTTCAAAACGCCGCTACTAGGCAAGCATGTACTGGTCCGTTTGTACAGCACTGCGACTGTTGCGTACATCAACCGCCAGGGTGGTCTACACTCCCGCATGTCACAACTCGCCCGCCATCTCCTCCTCTGGAGTCCGAAGCATCTGAGGTCGCTTCGTGCCGTTTATATTCTGGGCCTGCTCAACTTTGCAGCCGACGAGCTCTCAAGGCAGCAGGTAGATCTGTTTGCCGCCCACGTCTCACTGCCAGTTGTTTTATTCCCTGACCGAGGGGACCCTCGGCACGGATGCTCTGGCACACAGCTGGCCCCGGGGCCTACGCAAATATGCTTTTCCCCCAGTGAGCCTTCTTGCACAGACTTTGTGCAAGGTCAGGGAGGACGAGGAGCAGGTCTTGTTAGTTGCGCCGTATTGGCCCAACCGGACTTGGTTCCCCAAACTAGTGCTCCTCGAGACAGCCCCACCTTGGCCCATTCCTCTGAGGGAGGACCTGCTCTCTCAGAGACGGGGCACCCTATGGCACCCGTGTCCAGACCTCTGGAAACTCCATGTCTGGTCCCTGGACGGGACTTGAAGGTTCTAGGTGACCTACGCCCCGCGGTAGTTGACACAAATCACTTCCGCTAGAGCCCCCTCTACGAGGCGCCTCTATGCGTTGAAGTGGAACCTGTTCATTGAGTGGTGTTCTTCTCACGAGGAGAACCCTCGAACTTGCTCGATCAGAGCCGTGCTTTCCTTCCTGCAAGATAGGTTGGAGCGAAGGCTGTCTCCCTCCACCCTTAAAGTATATGTTTCCGCTATTGCCGCACATCACGATGCAGTTGAAGGTAAGTCGCTGGGAAAGCACGACCTGGTCGTCAGGTTCCTAAGGGGGCGAGGAGACTAAATCTACCTCGCCCACTCTATACCCTCTTGGGATTTGTCTCTGGTCCTTTCGACACTTCAGAGACCACCCTTTGAGCCTTTGCAATCAGCGGAGTTAAAAATTCTGTCCTGTAAAACAGTACTCCTGGTTGCATTGGCCTCAATCAACAGGGTAGGGGACCTGCATGCATTTTCGGTTGACGAATCGTGCCTGGAATTCGGCCCTGCTAACTCTCACGTGATCCTGAGACCCCGGCCCGAAAACGTGCCCAAGGTTCCTACCACTCCCTTCCGGGACCAGGTGGTGAACCTGCAAGCGCTGCCTTCAGAGGAGGCCGACCCAGTCCTCGTCCGCGCTCTGCACCTGTACGTGCACAGAACGCAAAGCCTCAGGACCTCAGATCAGCTCTTCGTCTGTTACGGAGGCCAGCAGAAGGGAAAGGCTGTCCCCAAGCAGAGGCTGGCCCACTGGATAGTGGATGCTATAGCTTTGGCTTACGAAGCCCAAAGCGTGCCCTGCCAGCCCGGGTTTAGAGCCCACTCCACTAGGAGTGTCGCTTCTTGGGCTCTGGCACACGGCGCCTCGCTGACAGACATCTGTAGAGCTGCGGGCTTTGCGATACCTAACACGTTCGCTAGGTTTTATAGCTTACTTGTTGAGCCGGTTTCTTCCTGTGTGCTCGCTTCAACCAGCCAGTAACATCGAAGTTCCCGCTCTAGTGTCGGCTTGCTGCGCCACTCCCCTCCACTTGGAGTGGATACGTGCGCTTTTTTGCTCCAGTTGAGTTTTTTGCTCCAGTTGAGTTTTTTAGTTTTTTGCTCTTTTTTGCTCCCCACTCAGGCCAACCCTGTAGAGTTCCTCCGCACCCCTTCGGCAGTCGGACATGGCGGAGTGTCCGACGCCACGCCTAGTGCTAGTATGCTTGTGTAACTTGTGCTAGGCTGGGTTCCATATTTGGTGATCCCTGAGGCGATCCCATGTGTGTATTCTTCCACGACCAGCTTCCTGCGGTGAGCCCGTGTCTTTCCCTTGGCAGAGTCCGCTCTGCTGTCACTGTCTAGTGTAGCCTCCCCCTTCTCAGGCTGAAGCCACCTCAGTGACATTCCATATGTTGCACTGCCCCTAACCGGCCAGTCCATATGTGTATTCTCCACATGTTACCTCCCTTCGGGCAGGATGTGGCTTCCGGAGCGTCCCTCTCCCCTGGAAATTATCCAAGAGTTCCACTGTGTGGGTTATAAAGGAACAGCAATTTGAACTCCCTCTTTGCAACCCTTCTGCCCCAGCCAATTGGGGGTCTGAGAGTCTTCCATAGGGCGCTGGATATGGCAGCAACCGTGGCGTTTTCCATGGGATCCCAATTACGTCGTCACGTCGAACGTGAGCGACTGAAAGGGAACGTCTCGGTTACTAATGTAACTCTCATTCCCTGAAGGTGGGAACGGGAGACGTAATGTCCCGTCACCACTGTTGCTGACCATCGCTGTGATGGCCATCATCATCTCGGCTCCTCAGCGAAAAAAAATGTGTGCGTGCGCCCGCTTCCTGTTTATACCCGCGCTGCGGGGCGGGGCCTGTGACGCGATTCACACACGCCAATGTTCATTGGCTCGTTCTGTGGACACTCGAAGATGATAGGGCTCCCTGAGGTGATCCCAATTACGTCAATGTTACGTCTCCCGTTCCCTCCGTCAGGGAACGAGGGTTACATTAGTAAACGAGACGTTTTTGGCAGCAGTTTCTCCTCTAAGGGTGAAGTTGGGTACTTTTTATTAATATTTTTAAGGCGTACTGTCAAGCTTAACAACTCAACCCCATCACATAAAATTAAGATGGAAAATTATCATTATTATTAATTATTCTACATGAGG